TGTCGCTTGTGAGTGTGTGTTGTGTGATTTCGGGCTTAGGAGCATCACATCTGGGTATGTGCGCTATTGCGTCACATGTGGGTGTGTCTGTGACTAGGGCACATGAGCATGGTGGGTGTGTAATTGCGGGCGTAAGGTGTGCACATGTGGGTGTGTGCGTGACTGCGTCACGTGTGGCTATGTCTGTGATTTCGGGCTTAGGATCCTCACATGTGGGTATGTCCGTGACGGTGTCGCTTGTGAGTGTGTGTTGTGTGATTTCGGGCTGAGGATGATCACATGTGGGTGTGTCTGTGACTGCGTTACCGGAGCCTGGTGGTTGTGTAATTGCGGGCGTAAGGTGTGCACATGTGGGTATGTGCGTGACTGTGTCGCATGTGGGTATGTCTGTGATGTCGGGCTTAGGATCCTCACATGTGGGTATGTGCGTGACTGCGTCACGTGTGGCTATGTCTGTGATTTCGGGCTTAGGATCCTCACATGTGTGTGTGTCTGTGACTGTGTCGTCTGTGACTAACTGGTGTGTGATGTCGGGCTTAGTATCATCACGTGTGGGTGTGTCTCTGACTGCGTTACATGTGGGTATGTCCGTGACTGTGTCACATGTGGTTCTGTCTGTGACTGTGTCACATGTGGTTCTGTCTGTGACTGTGTCACGTGTGGGTATGTCTGTGATTTCGGGCTTAGGATCCTCACATGTGGGTATGTCCGTGACTGTGGCGCCTGTGGCTGGTGGTTGTGTGATGTCGGGCTTAGGACCATCACATGCGGGTATGTGCGTGACTGTGTCGTTTGTGACTGTGTGTTGTGTGATGTCGGGCTGAGGGGGATCACATGTGTGTGTGTCTGTGACTGCGTTACCGGAGCCTGGTGCTTGTGTGATTTCGGGCTTAGGATCAGCACATGTGGGTGTGTCTGTGACTGCTTTACATGTGGGGCTGTCTGTGATGTCGGGCTGAGGATGATCACTCGTGGTGGTATGCGTGACGGTGTCACATGTTGGTATGTGCAGGACTGGGTCACATGTGGTTCTGTCTGTGACTGTGTCACTTGTGGGTATGTCTGTGATTGCGGGCTCAGGAGCAGCACAGGTGGGCGTGTGTGTGGCTGGATCGGGGTCCTGTTCGTTAGGTGGACATGGATCTTTGCCGTCGGAATCGGTGGGTTTATCCCGCGTTGGTGAATCGGTGTTTGTTGTTGAGTCCTGGGTTGCTAAACCGTCGTCTGGGGTACAGACATCCAAGGAACTACTATGTCCGTGGTTGCCCCCCATAAACTCTTCAACGAGTATTTGCAAATAGTCGTCTTTGACGTTTTCCCATTCGGCTGCTTCACATTCGTGGAGCACTTCTAGATGTAGCTCGATGATGGTGCGCTTATGCACGCGGGGTGGGCGTCGTCCGCGGCGTCGTCGTTGGGCGGGCAATCTGCCGGGCTGCCTATCCCTAATCATCGTGTACCCGTAATCGGGTGGCGGCAGGTCGCCGCGTTGTAAATGATCCAATATTACTTCGTCGAGTGGCGGTGACGGCACGTCACGAACGGTTCGATACGTTCGTCGTCGTTTGTGTCCGAGGAAGGCAAAATACTAAGCAAAAAAAGAACGAGGACGATGTAGAATAGTGCATTTGTGTTAGAATGATGATAGAAAAGCCCCCGCAGGAACACATTGTTCTATGGTACATATGACGGATACATACACGGTGTTGCGTATATACTTACCTTCCAGAGGGAATAACCAAGAAGGGCGACGATGACGGCGGACAGGAAGAAGAGTACGGGAGTAGTGGCCGTAAGGACGGTGTCGGTTAGGTCGGGGACATCTGGGGTCACTCTCCCGGGACCTTGGTTACCGCCCGATGAACTGGGTGATCTATCTTTTAAGGTTGGTGGTGCATATCCTTCTCCTATGCTGCCGGTAGATGGTGCACGGTCTAAGGATAGTCCAAAGCCACCATCCGGATCTGTAGGCTGAGAACCCGTACCCTGTGTGTTATTGGTGTGCGTGGACGGGTCGGATCCGGGTGTTGAGGAACCAGGGTTTTGGGGACCAGTGGAACCCGGTCCAGAGGAACCTCCTCCAGCCCCACCTCCTTTTCCTGCCTCACCAGCAACACCACCTACACCAGGACCAGTGCCGCCGCCGGGGCCGCTACCGGTTGCACCCGATTGATTTGGGTTCGGGTTCGGTTTTGGTTTGGGTGGATTGAGAGGAGGGGGGTCATCGTTGCCGCCGTCAACGACGTCATGGCCTGAACATTTGGTGAATGGGGAGACAGGGAAAGGGTAGGAAGAAGTATGATGAAACTGAAGTTTTGCAGGTGGTTGTGGGATGATCGCTGATGGTCGGCACCATGG